GGGGAGCCCCTCGCTCACTCGCTCGGGCCTGTGCACCAGCGGCTGCTTGCGTGAGGAATAAACTTGTTCAGCCTGCGGCCGTGGGTTTCTGTTCCCGCATCTGCCCGCAGGGGCTGGCCACCGCCGCGCCCCTCCCTGCACCACCTCCTTAGTGCAGCGCCTTCCTTCACGGGGGGCCCTGTTCAGGAAGAAGTCGGGGGCACCTTGGGATCGGAGGGCTGGCGCCTCTGGTCCGACAAACTGGAAGCAACAGCCAGTGAGGTGGCTGGGCCAGGAGGCTTTTTCTGAAGATACTTTAATGTGAGGTCTTCCGGTGGGTGGAGTGCGGGAGCCGCAGGAGGGGATGGCCTGGGACGCGGTAGGTAGCCTGGTGCTCGGCCCCCAGCTGCTGCGGGGCCTCCGTGCACGCCTGACCCTCGGGGCTGTTGATCCGCAGGGCGGCCCGAAGCGCCGACTTGACGGCTGTCTCCACCCAGCCGTGAGGGTAGGCCGTGTGCTCGCCCGCGAAGTAGATGCGGCCGTGGGGGGTCGTCCAATCGTAGGGCTGTGCAAAGGCCTCGGAGTCTTCGTCGCCGTCGGTTTGCCAGAGCACGGGCGGCTGCACCACGAAGCCGCCCTGGCTGTGTGGGTCTTCAGCCCAGCGCTTGACAATACCGGTGCCGTCCCAGAGCCGGTAGACGTGCGGTCCATGCAGCGCCGCCACGTCGGTGAGCGCCAGGCGCAGCACTTCTTCGGTGCCCAGGCCCGCGAACGCGTTGGTGGCGTCCGACCACGTGTACGAAGCCAGCAGCAGCGCGCCCTCGCCTGGCGGAGGGTAGAAAACCGCGCGCGACGGGCGGTCGGTGTTCGAGTGGCCGCCCTCGATGCCCTCGTCCTGCCAGAAGGGCCGGCGGAAGCTCAGGAACACCTTGGTGGCCGGCACGTAGTGCAGCCTGCGCAGCGCCTCCTGGCGCTCGCGCGACAGCGGCGGCGAGAAGGTCATGCGCTGCAGCGCCGGCCCACTGGCCGTCAGCAGCACCACATCGGCCGTCAGAGCCTTCAGGCTCCGCGACTGGCTCGAGGTCGCGATGTGCACCCGCACGTCGCGCGTGCCCTGGGTCACGGCCACGACAGGCGCGTTCAGCAGCACGGGGCCAGACAGCGAGCTCAGCAGCGCGCGCGGCAGCAAGTCCCAGCCGCCCACGATGCGGCTGTACCTGCGTGGGGAGGGGCGAACGTGACCCGGGGCTGGCGGCTGTACGCCCTGGCCCACTAGGGACCCTCCGGGGCCTGAGGTCCACCCCCGGCAGCCTGAGCGAAGGCCCCACCTCCTCCAAGGCCACGCTCCCGGAACCTTCCTTACCAGGTCCTGGGGAGGAGCCCCCCTCCCATCCTTTAGCCCCTTCCCTCTCCCCTCACCGGAGCTGGTCGCTGAGGCAGCTATGAGCGCGCAAGGCCTCTTCGAAGCTGAGATAGAAGAAGCCATCCTTGGACATCACGTCTCCCAGAAGCTGCACTGCTGGTCGGCTGAGATTGCCCTCCCCGCGGAGGAATTCCTGGGGGGTGGGCGCGCCCCGTCAGGGCCCAGCTAGGCTGCACCTGCACCTCCGCCCCACTCCCGAGGGGTCTCCTCCCCAGCTCCGGGTTATGTGCCCCGGACCTCAGCGATGGGCTCCCGCTGCTTCTGACAGAAGAGGGAAACCGGGGTCCAGAGGGGGCATGTCCGCCCCCCTCTCGCAAGGAGGCAAGGGGTACGGAGTCCGGCTCCTGACTCCTGGGGGGGGGAGCGTTCCGTGGGGCCCCACTCACCAGGAGCGTGTGCCTTTCAAACTTCCTCAGTGCCTTTCTGCAGCCCAGCGCCTTGACATCTTTCTGGGCCTGTTGTGGACCAAGCAGATGGTGCGTTGCTGGATGCCAAGGCCTGGGTGCCCTTTCTGCTTCTGCCCATGGCCAGCCATTTACTGCTTTCTTTCCAGGCCCCGGGCCTTTGCTCATGCTGTCTGTGCCCTCAGCTCTGCGCTCTGCTGCAACTCCGATGTCACTGCTTGGTGACATCTCAGAGTGGGCTCCCCTCATCTCACCCCACTAGCATGCTCATCCCTGCTGCGTGTGTGCGTGTGTGTGTGTGTGTGAGAGAGAGAGACAGACACACAGACAGGCAGGCAGGGTTTCGCTATGTAGTCTAGGCTGGCCTGGAACTTGCAGTGATCCTCCTGCCTCAGCCGCCTGAGACTGGGATTACTTCATCCCTACTTCAGTGGTGGCCTGTGAGCGCTGTGAAGGTGTGACTCTATGTCGGTCATGTGGTATCCTGTGGCGCCGTAACTATTTGTTTGGCTCATTGTGGACACAGAAAGCAGCTGAGTCCCCTCTGCCCACAGCCCTCTGTGGCTTCCAGGCACCTGGAGCCAGGGATCCGGCCCCTCAGAGTCGTGCTTCAGGCCCTGCCCACCCCTCGGTCACCCTTCCTCACGGCAGCTCTGCACCCGAAGCCTTGTCAGCGTCCCTCAGGCCAGCAGGTCCCCGGGGGAGAGTGTGCTCCCTCCCCACTCCCTCAGCTCAAGTCTCCTGGACCCCTGCACTGTCAGTGGCAGGGCCCAGGGACTGGGAGAGTCCAGGAGGGACAAGTAAGGGGCGCTCAGAGCCGCATGGCCAGGCCCCCTCAGGCGTCAGGAAGCCTCCTGGAAGAGGAGAGCCAGGAGCTGGTTCTGGGAGGAGTGGGAGCTCTCTGGATGGGGAAGGCAGGCACCCCGGGCAGGGACACAGTAAGGGGACAGCAAGGGACAATGGGCCGCTAAGTGGGCTTCCAGAAACACAGAGCACCAGGTGTGGTGGCACACGCCTATAGTCCCAGCACTGGGGAGGCTGAGGCGGGAGGAATGCTGAGCTGAGGCCAGCCTGGGCTCCATGGTGAGTTCGAGGCCAGCCTGAACTACACAGCAAGACCTTGTCTCAAAAAAAAAAAAAAAAAAAAAAAAAATTAAATTAAAAAATAAAACTATGTTCAAAGGTTTTACTCACTTAGATAATTTCTAGTTTAAATTTACATTGGTTCCCTCTTAAATTTGTTAGTAAGATTTGCTTATGACTTATTCTTCCATTTGCTTTTTGTTTGCTTAGCGTTGACCTAGTATCCTTGCTCCAGAAGCCTGTTCCTCCTGGTCAAGTGTCAGAAGTCAACACTTTTGAAACCTCCCAACAGCAGGGCTTTAGCCAAGCCCTTGTCTTCACAAATTCTCAACATAACAATCCGATGGCACCAGGGCCTGGTGGCTCCACTGCTACCACCTCCTATTCTCCTCAACACCTGGTAACTCACTTTCACTTTAGCATGGGATTTTAAGGCATATGCTCATTAGTAGTGGTAGTGTAGAAGATGATGTATGCCTTACGATTATTTTCTCATAAATAAAGATTAACATCTCTACAGTAGGTTTGAGTCCAGAAAACAATGATGTGATAATCTCCAAGCACATATCTGATGATTCTGTGTGGAATTTAACTACTGAGTTTCCTGGACAAAGATAAAAATATTTTTTATTATAATTGAGTCATTTTCAACTGATAATCAGATTAAAAGCATCCTTCTTATTAGTAATTTGTTTGGATTTTGTTTTGAAGTTTATATTAAAATGTCTTTAAAAAACCAGAACAAGGGCCGGGAATTTAGCTCAGTGGTTCCACCACCTGGCTTGCAAGCACAAGGTCCCGAGTTCAATCCCCAGTACCAAAAAAAAAAAAAAGAACAAACAAACATAAAAATAAATAAAATGTTAATTTTGGGTGGTATGGTTGAACCCCAAGCCTTATACATGCTGAACTAAGTCCTCAGTCCTTTTTATTTTTTTAATTTTTATTTTTTGGTACTGAGAATTAAACTGAAGACCTTGTGCTTGCCAGCCAGGCATGGTGCCACTGAACTAAATCCCCAGCCTTCAGCCCATATTTATTTATTTATTTATTTATTTGTATGGAGAATTGAGCTCAAGGCCTCACGCTTGCCAGGCAGCTGCTGTGCTGCTGAGCTACATCCCTGGCAATCCGATTTATTTTTGAAGGTCTTTCCCACTGTCTCGATGAGGTGGTATTGAGAGGCCCTGTATTGTTACGTAGAGGTAGGCAGCATTGACCTAGTGAGTTCAGTGGATTTTAAAGCTTACGAAATAATGCATTTGCTAAAACTGGCTGATGGATGATAGAGATTGTGTAGCCAAAGAGGGAGAGCAGCATCTGGGTAAACTAATAGTAAAAGAGAGTCACAGACTAAGAAAGTATTGTTTTTCTTTGTCACTCATATTTGTTATTTACTTCTGTTTCTTTTGTTTAAAAGAAGTGATGTCTGGGTATGGTGAGGCACCTCTCTGATCCCAGTACTTGAACAGCAGGAGGATTGCTGTGAGTTGGAGGCCAGACTGGACTACATAGTGAGTTCAAGGCTAGCCTGAACTATATAGCAAAACCCTGTCTCAGAAAGCCAAAAATAAATAAATAAATTTTAAAAATGTCAGTGTATGTGTGAGGGGGTACTAGGGATTGAACCTAGGGTCTTTGCACTGAGCTACATCCCCAGGTGCCCCCCCCCATATTTTATTTTGAGATAGGATTTCATTAAGTCACTTATTTGCCCAGGCTGGGGTCAGACTTTTGATCCTTTTGCCTCAGCCTTCCAGAGTGCTGGAATTACAGCACGCACCACCATATTCTGCTAAAAAAGTGTTATTTGCAAATTTACGGGATCACTTGAAAAAATATTGTTCAAATCCATAGCAAATATTTCTCTTACCCTTTATGTCAGAATCAAGAAGGATTGCTTAATTTAGTCAGTTCTTTTTTTTTAAAATATTTTTTTAATTTAGTCAGTTCTTACTGCATAGTTATACTTTTAAGTAGTATTTTTAAGGTGAGGGTTAGTTCAAATGTTCCAGGTTGTAAGTTTAAAAATATTTCTGAAAATAGTTGGGTGCATTTTAAAGCCTAGGGTAGAAATTTGTTTAAGGTAGAAATTGCTGAGAAATTGTTCTTTTATTTCTCTTTAAAGTCATCTGTCCTTGGCTCAGGATTTGGAGAGCTCACACCTTCAAAATTGGCAAATATCACCAGTTCCCAGGTTTTGGACCCGAAAGCTCCAAGTTTGGGCCAGTTTACTGCCACCCCAAGTTCACAGCAGAATAGTACAAGTTCCTCAACAACTACTACTTCTTGGGACCTGAAGCCCTCAGTATCCCAACCTTCAGTCCTCAGTCACTTCGGTAAGTATACATTTTTTGTGCTGGTTTGTCCCTGAGGACATGCTAAATCATTGGCAGAGTATGTTGACTTTTTTTTTCCAGTATGGGAATTGAACAACTCTTTTTATTTTAACTATTTGCATTTTTAAAAATTAGTACATATGTGCAGTACGTAATGATTATATTCCTTATGAGGAATTGGTACATGTACATAACACAGCTTAAGTCTTTTTTTTCCCCTTCCCCTTCAACACCCAACTTTTGAATACTAAAGTAGAACTTGTCCTGAGATGTTGCGGTTGTTAGATCAGTCTTCTTGGTGTTTGTTGTATAATACCTGCCTTTATTTGTTGTTAGTAGCAGCAGTAGTAGTACATGCCCGACAGATGTGCAGGAGAATGCAACTCAAACACTTTGAGTAAATTCCTAGTAAATTTTCTGAACTCTGTTAGAGTAAAGTTGTGACAGAAGGTGGAATGTTGACATTTTAAATAATCCATCCTCCATGGGGCTGGGGAGCTCAATGGAAGAGTGCCTAGCATGTGCAAGGCCCTGGGCTTTATTCCTAGTACTGCAAAACACTCTTTGTGATGTTTTCCCATTCTGACAATTTGCATATATCTACCATGATTAGATTAAGTCTTACTTTCTGTGTTTCATATTGTGAAGGCAACATTTTTTTTTTTGGTACCGGGGCTCAAACTTGGGTCTGCACTTGCGCAGCAGGCGGCGATAAGGCATTGTTTAAAAACAAAATTCCTACAGAAATTTTATTCTTCACTACCTATGTTCACTTGCTACACTATATTAAGGGACAGCGCAGATTACTTTTTTGTTTCTTTTTTCCTTTTTTTGGTACCGGAGATAGAACTCAGGACCTTGCACTTGCCAGGCAGGTGCTGTGCTGCTGAGCTACATCCCCGGCTTCTCACTATGTATTTCAGGATGGCCTTGAAGTCACTGTGTAACCCAGGCTGGCTTTCAGTTTGCAGTGGTCCTCCTGCCTCAACCTTGAGAGTGGTGGGATTATAGGCGTGCACCACCAGGCCTAGCTAGCACAGGTCACTTTAATCATAAGAGTTGATT